AGCGATGTGGCGGATACTGTAGGTTATTCTTCGCATCGCATGGCCCGAAACGGAAGTGTTTCTAAAATTTGACAGCATTCCAAGATAGGAGGCTGCTCGTTGAACCTCTCAAGAACTTCAACAAGGGGCTCTCCCTGCAACTCGATCCCATGGGTAGAAGCACGTTTGTCTCCACCCTCGGCAGCGAGATCACATATGATGGGTCGGCAGGTGTCACGCGATTATGCTATCAGATGGCTGCGACTTGGGATACGACCTTGGATGAATGAGTAGTGTAATGTAGACGAGGGGGGGACCACAAGAGCTGAAATCGGCCTGAATTGGCTGCATCGGCTACATTGGAGATAGTGTTATTCAGGGCACCGGCGCCGAATCAGGCAAAAACTCATGTTCTGCGACGGTCTGTGTTGCGAGGATTTGAGGGAGATCAGACGAAGACCGCTTCAGCCAATCTACTGTGTAGGATCCAAATCATCATAGTTCCGAATTCGTGTTCGGCACCGTAATTCAAGTAGTACTGGGAGACAGATATCGGGGAGCGCTGATAGCTGAAGCGAAGCTTCGTCAACGTCTTGGAAGTGTCAATCATTGCCAGCTTCCAGGGAGATGCTGGCTGACTTGTGTACTCTTGATGCTACACAGAATCATTTGGAGGAGGCTAAAAGAAAGGTCTGATTGGCTCTACCTTCATAACTATTCAAAGGTTATCTAGATCCTTCCCTGCGCGGCCGACTTAGGCATGTCCCGAGATGGCCTTGGGTTGGTACAGTTCTTCAAGGTACTTCTCCTCCTCATCGGTTAGGACCTTGCCGTCAGCAGTGATTGCTTGGTCGATTCTCTCGACGCTACTGAAGCCGATAATGGGGCTCGTAATTCGTTTGTTGATCCATGCAAGAGCCACATGGGACATGGGCCAGTCCCGCTTCTCCGCGATTTCCTGAACTCGCTTGATGATGGTCAGGTCCGGCTCCACCGTTCCATGGCTTCCGGGCTGACCCTCCTTCTCGGTCTTGCTGCGAGAGGTGGAGCCAAAGTCCTTTGGTGGTCGGGCTAGGTGACCACGGCCTAGTTGATGTCACCAATTAGCGTGAGCCGAACCTGAATGTGAGGGCCATTGACTTACAGAGAGGAGCCCACGGAATGAGTCCGACTCCAGTGTTGTTACAGAATCGGTTCATCTCCCTTTCTTCTTCGCGATACAACAGATTGTAGTGATTTTGCATGCTCACGAACTTCGTCCAACCATTCTTCTCAGCAGTGAACTGCATCTGGGCAAATTGAGTACCCCACATGCTGCTGGCACCGATGTACCGAACCTTTCCCGTCTGCACCAAGTCGTGCAGCGCCTTCATCGTCTCTTCTACAGGTGTTCTGGGGTCAAATCTATGAATCTGGAGAAGATCGATGTACGGAGTGTCCAGTCTCTTCAAGGAAGCCTCCACCTGGTTGAAGATAGAAGCTCTAGACAAACCCCATTGGTTTTGGTAGTCCTTCGATTTGTTGATTTCCTCGCGGTAGTTGAAGTGACGAGTCTCTACAAAGTGAGAAGTTCGTCAGCGATGCGACCATGATTGTCACAGCATCAAGCACCGAGTCACATACCAGGCTCTTCACCGACGGCAAAGAAACACTTAGTCAAAATGACCACCTTCTCGCGGGGGATGTTGTATTTCTTCAGGGCCTTGGCAATCGTCCGCTCGGATGCGCCATTCGAGTATGCGTTGGCGGTATCCCAAGTATTCAATCCCCGATCGTGCGCCGCCTTCAGAAGCGGAAGTGCCTACATGTTATGTTTCTTAGCCACGCTGGTCGATGATCATCGCGTAAGCGTTCAACATACCTCATCCTCATTCAGAACCCAGTCGATGGACTGAGAGTCTCCAAAACTCATGCAGCCAAAAATGGGAACTGAGACACGCAACCCGGACTTTCCGAGCTGGCGGTACTCGACCTTGGTGCTCTCGATACTTTCCCTCAGGCGTGCTGGGAGCTCCTTAGATGCCATTGCTGCGAGTTGTGCTAGACTTTTGATGAGTAAGTCGTTGTACGGGTGAATATGATCTGCTGAGACCGGCTGGCAGGAAATTGTTTAATTGAAAACTTGTAGAAGGTTGTGAAGGGCAGAGAGATGGTCTAAATAGCTACGTTGGCAGCACAAACGTCATCAAGCCCGATCGCGACATACTTTGGAGCGGTCACAGCGCGGGTCGGTGATGGAACCGAGAAGCGAAGAGCTACCCCGCACTGCGCTGATCACTGGCCTACCTCTTTAAGCCCACCATCTGGTGCAGCTTGCTGACCATCAGAGCATTCGTGATTCGGAATTAGCTCTTAAACTAAGCTTGAGCTGTGGTCCATCATGCAAGGGGATTGAAATCGATGACTGGTCCTGAATAAGCTCCTCTGCCCCTGATTAGGAGCCGGACTTAGGATATATAAACTCCGCCGTCGACCAGGAAGACTGGCAACACATTGTCACATCTGTCTCGCTTGGGGCTGTGGTTGTTGGCAAGGGCCATTATGTCAAACGATTGAAAGATAGCTTGTATTGAGGGAAGAAGTTAGCATCTCTAACTGAAGCACTCCTCAAAAGTTCCCACAAATGGTCCAGCACCACTGGGGTCGTTGTTAGGTTCGCAAGCACCGCGAGCGCTGCAGGTTCCTCTACCATTGTTACAAGCAGCCCCAGCATTGAGTTCAGCATTCTGGTTACCACCTCCCAAGATGAAGTCGTCGACTTGAGATCGTCCGTTTCCAGTCTGACATTCCTTGAAGTTACCGACAAACGGGCCAGCGCCGCTCGGGTCGTTATTAGGCTCGCATCGTCCGCCTTTGCAAAAACCCCGGCCGTTGTTACAACTTTCTAGAAGTTTCATTAGTTTTGGCTTAGTTCAACCCCCATTTACACAGTTCAATCATATCTTATCGGGCACGGGAGTCAATTCGAGCAAGTCGGTTACCAAGTGATAGCCGATTCCTTTGTTCCAGCGAACGAGGACACCAAAGTCGACCCTTACTACGGATAGGAGGCGAGATACTTACGGGCCAATACCGAGCTCGCTAGAAGCGTCAGGCAAGCTGTCAGAGTAATCAGCCGCATTTTGAGGCATGAAGAGACGTAGATGAGATGAGAGGTATTTAATAACAGATGATTGAATAGATGCTAACGAGATAGGTGGTACGAAATATGGCCCTGCGATTCTGTACCAGACAAATGAGAATAATATGAATGAAGTCCAATCGAGGGATGAATGAGATATTTTCTTTGGATAAGAGGGAAGTTGTAGCCAAATTTATCTCCAGTGGCCGATCCAGATTTGTCCTTTAGTGGGTTCTTGAAATTCTCTTACCATGCCAATGTTCCAGAATCTTGGCAAATCCGAGGTTGACTCAGGGATTGATTCAGGAGATCTTAGTCTGTCATCCCATTTGTTCTCGGTGTGATCGCTGTCAACGGGAAATATAGCCCTATTTTACGTATTCGGTATCGTAAAAGGCTTCCTTTGACCTGTCTGACACGTTGTCCCGTCACATAGTCACCTTGTGGGGTTCGGGGGGATCTACGCAATGTTCTAGGTCAGTCTGATCGCCGTTAAGATGACATGCTATGATCCGCCTGACATGGAGTTTCCAGGAGTTTCATTGGACCGTCCATATTAAACTCAAAGAAGCTCGTGAAGCTCGAATTAGCTTTGTTACTATGGTCGAGGATACCTTGTTTCAGTGATTAGGAGCTGTTGCACATCGAAACCGCAGCATTCGGACTGCACCGTCAATGATCTCGCCTGCAAATAACAGACTATAGGGATAGCGTGCACAATCCCTCCCACAGTGAATATTATCTCGTTAATGGCATGCGTCAAAATATGTCTGCTACGAGGCGTTGCACCAGCTGAAATGAATACCGAGCCAGGCCTCGGCTTTCACGACCAAGATTTGCATCAATGCCACCAACTGAAACTCCGTTCAATACGAAGCGCGTGTACAGGTCACTTGTTCAAAAAGACAGAGGTTCTGCAACCTAATTGATGGTAGTTATACCTCACCTCACACCAGGGCAGCAGCGACTGTAAGATAATGAACTTGCCTTAGAGCCGGAAACGAAGAGTAATAGTAGGGAGCCCTCGTCTTCTGGCTCAACTTTGCCCATTTTCATCTGTACTTGCACGCCTTTTCGCAAAGTCATCTCATATTTAAAACACCATAGCTGGTCAGTGGACTTAGTAGGTCCTGACGGACGCGTTGCCAATGCCGGTTGCCAGTGTTCAGCATGTGTACAAAGCGAACGGAAACCACGTTGCTAACATTGCTGCTTCCCATCTCGAATCTGGCACTGTAGGGAAATGACGAGAGATCTGTTGTTAGATCCCCCTTGCCCCCTGCTAAATCGGTAATAGTACGCTGGTAACTCTTCAGGGCCGTAGCGTTGTACTATCTCTGGCTCTGGTTACTAGCTACTAGCAACGAGCCATGTTGCAATCTCTGTCACCAGAACACAAAGGCAGAACGGATGTCATATCATTTCTCTCTGCCGCATTCTTCTCAATGCAGAGCTGCAGCAATAACTGAACGTGGCATTTGTCAGATGCGCCTCAATCGCTGTCCTAGACTAGGTAGACGACAATGCTACTTCTTCTATCGTTGTTGTGCCAGCGAGCCAGCCTCCTCCACTTTTCGCGAACCTTGATAACTCGATGTCAATAGGTATACGACACAGGGAAGAAGCTCACAGAGACCAACTGCTGTTAGGTCTAAAAGATGAATTACTAAATCTGCCCCTCCCTCGAAGTGTACTCTCAGCGCTCTATATATACCTGAGCTGCTCCTTTGTTGCTTGGTCCTCCTCCTATTGCCCCTTATGCTATCCCCTATCCGGCGGAGCCTGACACTCGACCCTCCCCCCCCCCCCTTCTTCTCTAACCTTTTCTGCTTTCCCATCCTCTTCCTCGCCGGGATGATCTCTTTGGCCCTCCATACTTACTGCTTGAGATGCCTCCAATTCGGACAGCAAAGTCTTCCGCAGCGAAGAAGTCTGGCTCTCTTGCAGCCTTCTTCGTAAAGGTAGACAGAAACAAAGCTCTAGCCCGCGCTATCAAAGTCCAGCCAAAGGCACCAAAGACGCCAGAACGCCTCAACATGTAGAACCCCCGCCAATGTCACAATCGACCACAGCGCTAGCCTCTTCAATGACAACAACAACGACGGACTCTTCGAGTCCACCTGAGGAAGGAGACGACGTCATCGACTTGGTGACGACGGACAAAGTGGGCTTGCCTGACCCATTGCCTCAGACAGTCACTGTTCCTTCTGAGCCCCAGCCGTCAAAATCAAGAGCATCATCAATCCAGCAATTGAAACACATCAGGCGCCCAGACACTCAGAAGGGCACCAAGGGTATCCTTTTCCAAGGCAATCGGAGTTGGGAAACGGAACATCTAAACAGACTGGGATCTTCGACAAGACAAATTATTCTCGGGACCGAAACGCAACTGACACGGTAAGTTAATATCTAATGACGCATATCCCATTCACCCTCGGCCAGTTCGATTGTAGAAGGAATAAGATTTGATTTTCTGCTCATGGCACCGCTTAACTCAGTAGCGTTGCATCTGCTTACCATTGTCCCCAGCGAAATCATCGACGACCTCATCTCTTTTCCCAAAGTTTGCCGTAACCTGTGGCACATTAAATTCCTACACTTGGACGACAGCTAGCATCCCGATAACCACGCCAGAGACTTGACGAACGACACTGTCGTGGGGCTGGCGTCGGCGTGCCCTAATCTTCGTTCTGTCAAATTGCGGGCTAAGTCAACATACCCACTTCCTGGCACCCCCCTGTTTCTGGCACCCACAAAAACGCGAAAATCCACCACAACCCAATGCCCACCCCCAACCTCCTTTTATCACAACATTTTCAATTCGCGTCCAAATGGGCTCATCTTTTGCACATGTCTTCTTCTATATATAATGCCTCAATATACCGAAGATCAGCTTCGTCAGGCTCTCGAGGA